GCTTCTACCCTGGGGGTCTTTAAGAGGAGGCTGGATGAACACCTCGCCGGGGTCATTTGACCCCAGTACTCTTTCCTGCCATGGCAGGGGATCAGACTCAATGATCGGCACAGGTCCCTTACGACCCTACTAACTATGAAACTACGAAATGCCACTGACCCTGCACGATAAACTGCAAGTTTACTCTTTCACATCAGAGAACAGAGTGTGATCTCAGGGACACGCTCTGAAAGCAAGTACAGGCAGCTCACTCAGAGCTATAGTTCAAGAAGCCCCAGGCTCAGCCCATGAGAAACCCCAGGAGCTGTGGGATACCCCACTGTTTGAATGCCTGCACCACACCCCAGGAGCACTCCTGGAGCCGGCAGTCATGCCGAGCACAAACTCCCACTACTCCAGCCTGCCGGGGCATGGGCCCAGAAAGACATTTTCTGCACGATGCCTTTCCTGGGACAACCGGTTTCTCATCATCCTCACGGCCTGCAGCCCACAGACACAGGACACCTTAACAGGGATTGCCCAGCTCACACTGGCGCACCCATCTGTATTCTTGGATGGCTCCAAGCAGCAATGTGCTGTGGGGCAGAGCTGCATCCAGGAGCGCACAGGGCACAGGACTGATCTGAAAAGCTTCCTCCCACACAGGCTCAGCCTCTTACTGTTCAGCAAAGCCCTTACACCCATTCTTCAAATCCCACTAACTTCAGGGACACCCAAGCCCACGCTCACAGGTCAGGGTGTGATATGCACCCGGGGCCCAAGCGTGGGGCTGCTCTGCTTCCCACATGGAGCACAGGAGGGGGAAGGCATCCCTCGGTTCAGTCAGGCAACCAGCAGGGAGGGCCTGCTGGCACCGGCCAAGCATGCCCCTGGGTGCCACCCTGCCCCCAGATCATGGAGTCAGCCAGCAACAATACTGCAGCCCCATGGGCCAGACACCAGCTCTGCAAATGTCTCTTGCTGCCCCTGGACTTCGGGCCTGGGGCTGGCCCACTGCCATGTCATGCAGGCCCCCAGGCTGCATAGAGGAGTGGGGATCAGGACTGTTTGACACCGGCCCTCACTACTGATAATATTCCTGCTTCCTCTAAGCAAAAGCCCCCAGCTTTTGCCCCTTGAAATGGAACAGCTGTTTCCAGCTACCTCCGAGCAGAAGGCTGCTCAGGCAACGTCAGCCAACGTCTGCATCCCAGCTGGGGCCTGACCCAAAGGCAGCGTAGCCAGAAGGCAGACTCCTGCGTGTTTCCGTGAGCTCTGAATTCGGCCACAGGCCTGGGAAAGCAGCCTCCAAGTTAGAAAAGGAAGGGAGTCCCAACTGGAGTCTGGGGATGGCGGGGGGAGGGAACACCCTGATAGCGGGCTCAGCAGGAAGCCCTCAACCCTGCACGAGCGCCTGGAGGCCACACGGGCAGTGTGGGAGCTGCCGTCCTACCCCCAGGTCCCTCCTGAGACAGCATCCCCATGGCATACTGAGCACCAGGAAAAATGACCAGTGTGAGATAGCGCAAAGTGACGTGGCTCCCCCCCAGAGATGGGGAAGAGGAACAGGCGGAAAGCCACGTGATGCTGGCTGACAACCACAGGGCTGCCCAGCCCACGCCGCCTCGGGAGTGATGAGGGGACTTCTGTGACAGAAGGAGCCCACCGCTGAACCGCAGAGTGCACCAGGAGCCTCCAAAACTGGTTGGCGGCAGCAGAACCCCAGCTGTTGCCAGCTGCAGGGACGAGCCAGGGCTTTGGGCCCCCGGGAAACCTGCTGCTTCCAGCACTGAAGGTGCTCCCTCTGCTCATCTTCACCAGGGCCCAATCCTGGGGAACCACAAGCAGGAGCAGGAACTCAATGTGAGCACAGTGCAGCGGCGGGAGGCCAGCCCCAGCTTCCATCCTGCATCTGCACAGGGACTGAACAACAACCGCACTGCTAAGGCAGACTCAGAGCCAAGCCAGGCTGGCAGGGCCCTCGGGCGGTCACACCTAGCCCATCCTCTGCTCAATCCCTGGCTGAACCCCCCTAGCCATGCTGAAGCATGAGAGTCCCTTTGAAAAAGCCAGCTCCATCTCTGTGGCAACCATGCTGGACTCCTAACCGAGGGCCCGGGGACTGCCACATACGCCCCAAAACAAGAGCTCCTTTACCAGAGTGACACGAGCACCGCAGGGAACTCCTCACTGCACCCCGGGGGCTCACCTGGGGGTTGTCCATGTACCACAGCAGGCAGTTGGCCTTGGTGTCCAGGATGAAGTACCTCCGCAGGAACTTGCCGCAGGTCTCATTTTCTTCAATGTCCAGAAACCCACAGATGCGATTCTGCCGATCCACATAAGGCATGCCGGGCTCCTTGGACCATCACCCTGCAACACACGCATCAGCGGTAAACACTAAGCACACCTGCTGCTCTGCCAACCTGGCTGCCGCTGCCAACCCCTAGTCCCCTGCCAGCATCCATGGCACTACAGATGTGGTTGGAACCCACCCGTCTCTCACGCTGCTTTTGCCCGGCAGGCGCCAGGTCCTTAGAGGGCATGGAGTGTAAAGAAGCCAGGGGTGAGGAGGAACATCACCTTCCTGAGGTTTTCATTTGACCTGCCAAAGCTGCTCTGCTCCAGGTCAGGGAATTGGCAAGCCAGCCAGCAGCGGGCCAGTCTCACCACACCGGACAGGGAGCATTTGCAAAAGCTAGCTCCGCCTTCTCCAAGCCACACATCATTTCACTGCACAGCGATTTATGAGTTACACGCCCCACTGGGCTCTAGCCTGATACAGCAGCCATGCACCTTCCCGCAGGATGGCTGCAATAGGGATTAAAGGATTAGGAGCCTGATCCTGCCATCACCTCCACCCAGCAGGTTCCCACAGCAACCCCACGGAGCTCCAGAGCACTCCCTGCAGGCTCATGGCTGCACGCCGGCCTCGGCCTTGGACCAGCCCTGCTATCATCCAGATTTCCTGCCGCTGCTTCCGGGGCCCCAGAGCCCCTGGGCCCACGGAAAGGCAACACCCCCTCCACCACCGCGCACGTGTGCCTTGGGACGGCTGCCAGACAAAGAACCCAGCCCCTCCTAAGCAGCAGGGGGGCACGGCCATAGCAATACGGGGGCACAGTCAGACCACATCCAGAAAACACCAAAGCAGCTGAGCTGAGGGGCTGTGGGAGTCCAGAGGCTTCCAAGAACCACAGATGGACTGCATCAGTGTGCGCAGCTAGGCAGCAGCTAGCAGGCTGGACCACACTGGCAGCTAGTAATGTGGGGACTGCACTGCTCCTCTCTCCCCTCCTGCTGAGACCTTACCACTGCACAGGGGCTCTCCAGAAGACACTGCAGTTGCAACAGCCCCGAGCAAAGCAGTGGTCCCAGGCCCGAGGGGAGACAACGCCTCAAAGTCCCCCCCAGCAGCAGCAGTCACCAGTACAGGGAGGCAGGGCACCCGTCCTGGCCTGCTCCAGAGGTACACACCAATCCACCAACTCAAAGCAAGCACGCCGGGAGGAACAGGACAGCTGCAGCACACGGGTGTGATGAACCCTGGAGGCTTTTACCCCAGGGCAAACACAAGCCACCCAGCCCCCACCATCCTTCTCAACCAAGGCTCCAAGGAATGGGAAGCAAACTGCAGCTCCTGCAGAAAACGGGTCATGCCAGGATGCAGCGTCAGCAAGGAAAACAACGTCCAGGCCTCGCTGGGTGACAGCATGTCGCCCTCCTTGCTTGAGCCAAGAGCTCTTTCTGTAAGGACCCTCGTGGCTCAGAGCCCTGCCCAGAATGGTTCAGCTTGCTCCCTACCCCCAGCACTCAGGCAGGCTGCAGGGATGGGCCTGAATGCATTCAGAGAGCACCAGACCAAGGGCAGCTGCACCAGACACAAACTTCCCCTTTGCAGTCCCTGTAAGTTTTCCAAGCACAAAAAGGAGAGCAGGGAAAGACTTAATCCCACCAAGAGCAACCCTCCCTTGCTGCCTGCTCTCTGCCTGGATACCACAGGGGCACTGGGGAAATCCGGCCCTAGGACATCCAGGGGCTGGGTTTGATAAGTAACTGGCTAAAAGACCAGCAGCTGCAGCCAGTTTGCACCGATACTCCAGTGAAATCCAGGGCGAGACCTGGGGCCTGGCTGGACCACACAGCCTGTGCACACACACTTGGCGTCAAAGCCGGAGTACAGTGCACCGCTCCAATTTGCTAGTGGCTTGCATGCACTCTGCACTGGTGCCAGTGATGGGATAGGGTGCAGCACCATGGGGAAGGAGGCCCCTTAATGGTAAGTGCGGTGAAGTCAGTCTGTGGGGCTGGGTCACCTCACATTTTGTGTCATCATTGACATGGGTGCTGCGTGGGCATGAGTTGTCCACCCCGAGCCACTGTGCGCTGCTGCAAAGCCCAGGTGCAGAAGGTGCACAGTTAGCAAGGCACCGTCTCACTTGCCTTAGGGAGGAAACCTCATAACTGCCATGATTCGAGAGGCCTGCAAGAGAGCTGGCTGCAGATTCAGGCCACAGCTTCCCGAGCATGGACGGCACAACATGCATGTGCGTTACAGGAAGCACAAATAAGGAGCACACCGATATGGAGAAAACACCGGGGCATCCTCTGCACAGCAGTTAACAGGACAGCAGAGGCAGGGACCCAGTCTGAGGCCGTATGCTGTAGCCGGCAGCACCAGCATTTCGGGGTTCTTCATCAAGCAAGTAGCCAGGGTGCATTCACCTTGGAGAGAACGTGCACTGACTGGGGGGGGGATTTTTCACAGAGTCACTGGTTGAGGTGCCTAAGGGTGGGTAGGAGGAGTGTAAGGGCACTGGTTCCCAGCTAGGGGCAGGACAGAGATAACCAAACCCAGAGCCAAACTGATTTTGTGCCGAGGCATCAGTGTCAGCCAGGCCTCATAGTGTCAGCCAGGCCTCAAGGCACTGCTGCTGCTCACACAGCCGTGACATGGGCAGGGAAGAGGAGCCTCGTGGAAATGCCTGGTCTATCTATATACCCAGGACCAAGTTCAGGACTCAACTCTGCTGGCCTCACCCTGCCAAGCACCGAGGCAGGTGCCCACATGAGCTTGGGGGCATGTCAGGCCCAGCAGGAAGCAGCTGAGGAGCCTTATAAGTCACAGGGCACAGCATGCATAAATGATCAGACAACTTCTCAGGCATATACCTCCCCAGGGCATTCGCACCCATCCACCTACAAGCAGGCAAAGACCACTGAGCTGCCCTCCACGCCCACCGCACAGCTTCCAGACTGAGGGGACTGCCAATGATCCCAACAGTCTCTGTTTTCATCCAAGGCCCATCGACTCTGGGTCATGCAAAGTTTAAAAAAAAGAGCCCAGAGATAAAAGGGCAGCTGCTGTGTCCTGGGAGATGCAGATTAGCTGAGCTGGGCAACAGGCAGGGTGGTGCTGCGCTGCAGAAACCCTCTCTTCAGATTCAGTCACAGGCAGGACAGAAATCTGCAGCTTTGGCTTTTTCTCCCCTCTGCCTCAACTGACCCGAGTCTGAATGGGAGGGTACAGACCGCTGAGCTCCCTCTGCACAGGAAAAGGGGATGGGGGTGATCTGGGGCTGCTCTCAGGCATGTGACATGTGGGGAGATTAGGAGCCCACTAAGCTTCCAGCATGCTGCAGGTGGGCAGCTGCTATCCCCACCTCTCCCTTTGGTTACAGAGCCCAGCCTTGGAGCCAGGCCCCTTCCCGACAGACCATGCATTCTTGCAGTAATCATCGAGCCCTACACGGGTTCGAAGCACCTGGCTGGTGTTATCGGGGTCAAGCCTTCATTTTTCACCCCAGCACTACTGCTCGTTGCTGGGGAGGGGACAGCAGCTTCAGCAAGCCCCTGGTCTGTTCTGCTGTAACATTTCCTGCCACGTGCACATTTGCACTGAAATACTGTTACCCATCTTCAGCTCGCAGCTCTGCACACCGGCTCGAGACAAGTTAAGAAAAAATACAGGTTCAACGTCACAGTCTGAAATGACTGGGAGTCTTCAGCCGGGGCAAGAACGTCCGCCTGAGACTCAACCACCAATGATTTATCTGATCAGTAGGTCCCTTTGTTACCGGAGTAACCCTGTGTGCTGAAACAGATGACACGTTTCTATTTCTATTTCCTGTATCTCTCAGAAGTGGAAGACAGTCAAGTCCAAGACCCGAGACAATGAGAAAGGGCAGACGGCAGAAGCAGGAAGACACTCAGCTGTGCGGGCAGCGTTTGGGGCTGTTAATGGTCCTCGACAGGCCCAGCAATCACAACTCATTACATTATCCCCCTGTAACTATGGCCATTATGTAAACACCACAGCCATCCTTATGGTGCCGAGCATAAGACGTGCCAGCACGCGTGTGAAATCTGAATCTGATTCCTGGCAGCCTGTCTGAAATCGGAAACTTGTCTAAAGAACTGCCCGAGCCTTGCCATGAATTAGGCCCTTAAGATGTAATGACGGGATCCAATTTGTCACCTTGCGGCGAAGCACGGCCCGGACGGACGCGCCAATGCTTTCTGGGCTTCTCTCCGCGGAAGGGACTCTCTTTTTAGTGCCATTAGAGGTGCAACATATTCATAAACTTCCTCCAAAAAAAGAGCCCGGATCTCGCCCGGCTCAGCTCACGGGCAGCGAAACTACTGGGGAGGATTTAGTGAAAAAGAGCCAACACAAACCCAGCTTGGTGCTGCATTTCAGGCGGATTAAGAAAGCTTCCCAGGAATTTCTGAAGCCAGCCGGGGACCAGCGAGGCTGCAGTCAAAGCCAGCAACACCATCGCTGTCAGCGGGGTCCCCTCGGGCGAGCAGGAGCCCGCTCCCTCCAGCCGCCCTGCCCGAGCGCCGCTCCGCGTCTAACGGCCGGCGCCCCCGGGGCAGCGCCGACAGCGCGACGGGCAGCAAAACCGCCCACGACGGCCCGCAGAGCGC